CCTAGTGAATAATGCCATAAACCAGTTAGTTGAAGTCTTGGACCCTATTTCAGTTTTAGAATCCAATTTTCAGCTACTTTTGTTTCTTCCTGATGGTAGTTACATGGCCAAAACTATCTCACTACCTACTACTTTTTACTGGGAGAAAGGAACACAATGCTGAATAATTTATCTAGATTCATTCACATTTTATAAATATCTACAGGTATTGAGAAACAGCAAATAGCCCTCTTAGATCATAGGGAGATACTTAAATGGTACTTTTATTTTTGTTTGCCATCTTTATATTTTTTAAAATGTTAGGAGAGTTATAATTAGTAGTAATATATTTTAGAGCCTCTAGTTTTAAATTGTGTGTGGTGTTCTACTGTATTTTCAGGATTTTAGAATATACTTTTAAGACTTCATACTGTGTACCTCAAATGAGTATAAGTTTAAAGAGTTAGTATAATTGAGTCAAGTCAGATTACTTATTTGGTTAATTGTAAATGATTCCTTTGTTTATATTTACCTTTTTTTATTGCTTTTGCCCCTCTTTTGTTAGTATTTCATTCCAATTTATCCAGTGTTCCCATGACTACAAAACACTTCAGTATATGAAAGGCCCCAGGATTAAAAAAAACCCTTCTAATTTATTAAAGATATGTGTGGTGTTTAACATTCGCTTTTCCTTTTATATTATTCCAGTATTGTCATTTAAAACAAGATTCACTTCCTTGTTAAACATACAGTACGTAGGTTCTATGATTTTTTCATACCTACTAATTGGAGATGATCAAAATGTCAAATGGTGAACAAAGTGATGTGGTTACGAAGACTTAAGTTGTTTTAATGTATATTTTATCCAGGAACTTAAGAAGTATGGAGTTACCACAATAGTAAGAGTATGTGAAGCAACTTATGATACTACTCTTGTGGAGAAAGAAGGCATCCATGTCCTCGTAAGTATTTAACATTTTCTATGTGTTTATGATACTGGGCTACACAAGTTTATTCTTGAACCGCAGACCTAAAAAGCTTAATATTTTAATTTGTTAAAAAATTATGCAGTATTTTAATTTCCAAATAAATGTGAAAGGAGACTGGACATTTAGGCACATTTCATTGACAGTGGGGTTTAATAAAACAGGTAATTAAACATATTAAAATAATTTTGAAAACATTTGGATGGTAGAAATTTTGATTTTTTTTTTTTTTTTTAAAGATGACCGCTAAGGGGATCTTAACCCTTGACTTGGTGTTGTCAGTACCATGCTCACCCAGTGAGCTAACCAGCCATCCCTATATGGGATCTGAACCTGTGGCCTTGGTGTTATCAGCACCACACTCTTCCCAAGTGAGCCACGGGCTGGCCCCCTAAATTTTGAATTATTAATAAATGGTATTTATGTTAAAGATCTAAAATATTTAATATATATATGTATTTTTTTTTTATACTTAGGATTGGCCTTTTGATGATGGTGCACCACCATCCAACCAGATTGTTGATGACTGGTTAAGTCTTGTGAAAATTAAGTTTCGTGAAGAACCTGGTTGTTGTATTGCTGTTCATTGTGTTGCTGGCCTTGGGAGGTAAGAGCATTATTTTTCTTTTTTTGTTTTGTTTTTTGTTTTGTTTGGGGCAGCTGGCTGGTGTGAGGATCCAAACCCTTGTCCTTGGTGTTGTGAACAGCACTCTCTACCAACTGAGCTAACAGGCCAGCCCTAGAGGATTTCTTAATTTGGTTATAGATAAAAGTCTGGGTTGATAGGAAAATTCTGATACGTTATGTATTTCTCTAATTTTTTAACATCCAGTCAACATTTTTTTGTATGGATATTACTTAAAGAGGAAGTATAGTAGATAATTCTACTGGATTAGGGGATGTTTGGAGTAATCAATTTTCCAAGGTTTGGTTTTTAAAAATTATTTATCAGAATTCTTACCTTACCAGAGCTCCAGTGCTTGTTGCCCTAGCATTAATTGAAGGTGGAATGAAATACGAAGATGCAGTACAATTCATAAGACAGTAAGTAATGGATTCTCTTTTCATTTGTACTCTTTCATTTCCTTGTAAGTATATTACTAATAGCTCATCTATTATGATCATTTTTAAAAACAGTATTAAAAAACTAGGAAATAAAGATTTTCTCTTTTTGCATCCTATACAGATGCCCACATTATCAAGATTGTAATCCAGTGATATTCTTTGAATTACTGTTTTGCTTTAAGTTCTTGATTGAATATGCTGCTTGTTAATTTGCATTTTTATTGAGCTATAATTAAGATGCAGTAGAAAATACCCAGGTGATCAGTTGACAATAACAATATGGTAATAACTTCTATTACCATAAATTAGTCTTGTCTTTTTTTAAAAAAAAAAGAAAGAACGATGACCGGTGGTAAAGGGATCTTAACCCTTGACTTGGTGTTGTCCACACCACACTCTCCCAGTGAGCTAACCGGCCATCCCTATATGGGATCCGAACCCATGGCCTTAGTGTTATCAGCACCGCACTC